CTCCCTCACTCCCTCACTCCCTCACTCCCTCACTCCTGCCCTCCCTCCCTCCCTCCCTCCCTCCACTCACTCCACTCACTCAATCCCTCTCCTCACTCACTCGTCATTCACTCATCACTCACCCATCACTCACCCATCACTCGCTCACTTGCTCCCTCCCTCGCTTGCTCATCCACTCCCTCCCTCACTCGCTCACGCGCTCACTCGCTCACGTGCTCACTTGCTCACTCGCTCAGTCACTCGCTCCCTCACTCACTCACTCACTCGCTCACTCGTTCACTCGTTCACTTGCTCACCCGCTCACCCGCTCACTCGCTTACTCACTCAACCACTCAACCACTCAACCACTCAACCACTCAACCACTCATGCACTCATGCACTCCCTCCCTCCCTCCCTCCCTCCCTCCCTCGCTCACTCACTCACTCACTCACTCACTCGCCCACTCACTCACTCACTCACTCACTCACTCACTCACTCACTCACTCACTCACTCACTCACTCACTCACTCCACTCACTCATTTACCCACCCACTCAGTCAGTCAATCAATCAATCAATCAATCAATTAATCAATCAATCAATCAACGCTGGCTGGTGCTGGAGCAAGGTCGTGCAGCTCTGTAACCTAACCTGATGGGAGCATGAGGCCTGGAAGAGCTTCGGTTCGTGCTAAAATCAACCATGCTGGTGGTGGTCGTAGGGGGATTGAATAGGTTTCACCTATCTGATTCGTGATGGGGAGGCTTATTGACACACATAGTCTTTTGACTTGGTAGAGTCTGAATGGAAAAAAAGTCAGTTGTTCTTATGAATGTCTTAGGACTTTAGGGTTTCTTAGGAATCCATCTTAGGCAGTTTTGATGCTGTTATACTCAATGATCTGTGGCCGTTCGATGCCAGAACGACGCTGGCCGGTGCTGGGGTGTTGCCCTGTAATCTGCTGACGCAGGAGCATGAGGCCTGGTAGAGAGATCTGGGGATGCTTTGGGGTGGGCATCCCAAGGGACGACCAAGGGTTGCTGTTGGGATGACGCTGGTCGGAGCTGGGGCGAGTTGTGTTGCCCTGTAACCCAGCAGGGTGGGGGCGTGAGGCCTGGAAGAACTCAGCAGGGAGTAAGACGGTGTTGGGAAGTCTTAGAAGGGTTTGTCAGGGAACCTGAGAGTAGTGAGCATTCGTAGGACTCTGTTTCACAGTTTGTTCTCAGCCGAAGCCGGGTAATGGCCCCAGTATCTCAAATGACCTCAAAAGACCTCAAATGTTCTCAATGATCGTATAATTCGATATGGGATGCTGGGCCCGGTTCCCAGCACGCGCTGCTCCCCACGAATAGACTGGAGCATTTGTTCTTTAAAAAAAAAATAAAAAAAAAATAAAAAAAATTGCTCACTCTCTCAGTCCTGCAATCAATCAATCACTCTCACTCAATCACTCGCTCCCTCAACCTCTCGCTCCCTCCCGCCCTCCTTCAATCACTCGCTCCCTCCAATGTATGGCAATGCCAAAGAAGAAGAAGAACCAATGTATGGCAATGCCAAATAATAACGAGAAGGAGTATGAAGAAGAAGAACCAATGTATGGCAATGCCAAATAATAACACTCTCCTCTGACCCACCCTCATCTCCTCCAACGCCCCATGACAATGAGTCTCAGATGCCGACTCGGGGAGCCATGTTCCCTGTACAATGGCACGTCTCCTCTCTCTCTCTCTCTCTCTCTCTCTCTCTCTCTCTCTCTCTCTCTCTGAGCAAGAAAACATGGAGGATAAGAGAAAGTAGCATGGAACTCTCTCTCTCTCTCTCTCTCTCTCTCTCTCTCTCTCTCTCTCTCTCTCTCTCTCTCTCTCTCTCTCTGTGTGTGTGTGTGTGTGTGTGTGT